TGTTCTGGAACAGTGTTGTAAATACAACATAACCACTGATTTCTAGTCCTTTTTTGGAAGACCAAACAAAGTAGTTTCGCGTGTTAGAACGAGCCATTTTAGGTAGGCGTGGTTAACTCTTAACTTTTATAAAGAATATCTCTTTGGATTTGAGACTTTAGTCTTTGCAACTTTACAGATCTTCTTTATGCACCAAGAGCTTGTAACACTCCAAAGAGAAAGGAAAAATTGAAATCGCATCATATGACCCCTTTAAGTGTCACATCATCCTTCAGATATCATGCTAATATGCTGATTTGGGATTTAAGAAATAATGATTTATTATGAAATTATGAATTATTCAATTAATTGAAAGTTCAAAAGAACAGCATTTATTTAAAAAAAAAAAAAAAAAATTTTTGTAACATTACAAATGTCCTTACAGTCACTTTAGATCAATTTAATGTATCCTTGCTGATGAATAAAAGTATTAATTTCTTTCCAAAGAAATTTTGAATAGTACTTATGGTTTTATTTGAACATCATAACAATATAGTGTTAAGTATAAAAGATGGAATATTTATTATGGAATCTGCTATAGAAAAAACAGTTTCAATTAGGAAGAAGTGCTCCTAATAATAGGGACTTCTGGGATGCTGTTTCCACAGAGCTTTAATATTGTTACATGCAACTCACTTCATATGCCCTGTTAAAGAGAAAGTGCTCTTAAAGGTTTAAAATGTTTGCCATATTACATTGTTATCCTTTTAAGTTAGTGCTAGAAGATGATCTAAATCTTAAAACAGGCAAAAACAACATCGGCTGAGGCAATAAACTGATACAATGCAGATTTAATGTGCAAACTCAAATAAATGGAGGAATGAATGATGAATGAAGTTGAAACAGACTGATTATGGTATGATTGGATGGGATTAAATGAAATGATGAACACCCGTTAATAGTTATACTTTCAATAACTGCATATGAATTGTACAGAGAGCATAAAAAGAGAACTGGCAAATTTTAATGCAAAAGTTGACTATGTACTAGGTCAAGAAAGTATTACGTCCTTCGCATACAACCAGACAAGGGGTTCCTCACCTCTGCGTGCAACCAGCTGCAGGGTTTCCTCAATGCGCTGAAGCTCCTTCTGTTTGGCCTCCTGCTGGTAATGCTCTTCTTTAACTGGATCATATTTAATTGCTTTAAACACACAATACACACGCAGTTAGAGGTAAACAAACATCAAAGATACCATTTATATCATTAACACCTCAGAAGTCTTTAATTTATTACTAATCTGTTTTCACTACTGCCACCTAACATTGTGTTTGTCATACCCAAAATGTACAGTGGAAAACCAAACACTGGGAGCTCAGTCAACCATGTAATAACAGAAAAGTAATTTACAATGACCATCTCCCACGGTTTGAACTGTGGCTTATAAGTAGCTACAGTCTAATGCTGCTCATTCAAGCAGACTTAAGATTTTCATTGTGGCTTTGTCCTCTGATTTGGAATCCACTAGTGAAGCGCTATCAGGAAGGACTGGTTCAGACCAATCCATGTGAGAAACAAAAACCTTAAAGGGTTAGTTCACCCAAAAATGAAAATTAGGCTGCGTTTTACTCACCCCGAGGCATCCTAGGTGTATATGACTTACTCAGCGGGTGTTGCATGCTTCAGTCCAAAAGAACTTAAATAAAAATCGCCCATCCATAAAAAAAAGTGTCTCACAAGGCTCCGGGGGGTGAACAAAGGCTTTCTGAAGCGAATCAATGCGTTTTTGTAAGAAAAATATCCATATTCAAAACGTAATAATCACTTTAATGTAGCTTGCGCCAACAGTCCTACACGGAAGCAGCACCAGGGTTGATGAGGTATGGGGTCAGCGTTGCGCATGCGCCGGTGAGTCTCGTGAAAACCAACGTTTGTTTACAGGATCAAAGGAAGCAAAGTTTCCTTACTTTAGCAAAGGAAAACCAGTCTCCTCTTGGCTTATATTGAAATCCTCTGACATTCTTTACAAATCCTCTTTTTGTACTTCTAATCCTTGACCGTTGTTTTGTTTTGATCTCTCCGCTGTGTTTCCGTGTGCGGCACTTCTGAGCGGCGCATGCGCAAAGCCGACCTCATACATCATTGGTCATATACACCTAGGATGCCTCGGGGGTGAGTAAAACGCAGCCTAATTTTCATTTTTGGGTGAACTAACCCTTTAATGCCTACTATTGTATATGCTGCCACTGTTTATCTCTCTTCACCAGAGTAATAAAAGAGACAGGTATGAAGATCAAACAAACAATGTTATATAAAGAAAATGCCACTTGTTATTTTTGGTCTATAGAGACCAAAAGGGTCTTTGGAGTTCCTGAGGCAATTTAATCCATTAAGATATACAGTCTATTCATCAGAATCAGAAAGAGCTTTATTGGCAAGTGTGCAAGCACACAGAAGAAGTTTTTCTTGGTATTGAAGCTTTGAGTGCACACATATAAATACACATATAAATACAACAAGAGACATAATAATAATAGTAGTAGTAAAGAATAAAAACACGAGAAAGTATGAGGACTCATGTTACGTCAGAATAGAAATATTTCAAGATTATGCACCTATTTATGGTGTTATAGATAATAATAGTGAATTTACAGGACATTGCACTAAATTGGGCATATTCAATGATTCTGAGGCAATCCATCTTTACAGCACATCTTTCAGCAATGTTGAAAGATAAAGGCTTGTGTATATCTCAAAACAGCAACAACTTTTCATTGGCAGGTAGAAGCTGACTGTCTTCATTGCAAGAGCTAGACAGAAAGTAGCAGACTTTCATGCTTAAAAAAATGAAAAATCATTTTACAGCATTTTACTTACAGAACATGCATTATACATAATTGATCGGTCTACAAGATAAAGCAGATCCCAAAAGAATGGAAAAAAGTTACCAAGATCAATGCCAAATTTGAACAAACACTCTCAAAAGTCTTGATTGATACACTGTCAATACATGCTATCAATGGCTCTCCAAATAAACACTTGTATTTGTATGATTAAACATTGTAACCAAAGGTACATATAAAGTTTGCCATAATTATCAAAGATTCAGATACACACAAGAGCAGCTTAACGGTCCGGGTCCCAAGCCACCACCCTGCTACCCACCTTCTACACCTGGCTTACCATTGTAAGGTGAGGAAAATAACTTAGACTCAGCTGCAACATGTAAAAGACAATGTCAGCTGAAGCAGCCCAAGTAATACTGAAAATATATACTGTATCAAAGAAATTTAGTTATTCAATATATTTGTAATTGCTGCTACACTTGGCAAAAAATAACATCCTCACATAGCTTTCAAATGGGTCTAACATAATAATGATGCAAGTGTCACTGACTGCTTTTTATTACAGTAATTAATAAAAGCATTATTTATTAAAAATTATCAAAATCGTATATTATGTATTATAATAAGTATACATTATTTTGTGTCTGACAATTACATTTTCTTTGTTTAATGAAATGTTGTATAATGCAAGACACGACACACCCCTCAGTTAAGAGGCAGGAATCCATCTAGCTTATAAATAAATCATGCAATTAATTTCTAAGACGAGATGTTATAACAATAAATGAAAGCATTTTGTAGACAAATTACTGTAGTAAAGTGACATGAAATAAATAGCATGGTGCTTCAAGCTAGATATAAAAACAACTTCCACATTAAGAAACATGTTGCATTAAGGGAACATAATAAGTAAAACAAAAAAACTAGAAGCACTCACTTGCACCTGGAACCACCAGAAGGTATAATCCATCTAATGTAGCCACCACTGCCTCATTGTACAGGTTTTTCCAAGGGATCTTCAGAGTCAGTTTACCTTAAAAGCAGACATTTTCAATTCAGTGTGACTATATGAAAGATAAAAGCACTTGAATTACACGAATTTAGATCTTCGGAAATCATTAGCATTATGCTATTCCATGTTTTCTCAGTTACAAGTAAGACACACATTAGTAAAGTACAATACAAACATGGTGAATAGGCAGATTCCGAGCCAGACTTGTTAAAAATGACTTGCTAGACAGACTTGTTGGAAAAGTAGTTTTGTTGAATGTAAGAAAAATGATGAGGACGATGAAGATCTCGATGAAGATGTTTATTGCAGCATAGCAGTGACAAAGTACATGTAGTACCTTGGGTTCAACGGAGTCGGAATGAACCACGAGCATCCTAAGCTCAAACATTTTATACACTTAGAGTTTACTACCCTCCATGAAAATGAAGTTGCTCCTGTTGTTACAGCTGTGGTCTGTATGTTAATTAAGTTCTGACACCCCTTTGTTTGAGGTGGTTCTCAGTGTCCCACACCTGCTCCCATTCTACAATTGGTCACCATTTGCTCAGGATGTGATAGTCCCAAGTGATCTACAAACAACATAACTGTTGACTTTCTTCTTCTCTATAATAATTAAGCCATTTTGGGAAATGAGCATGATCAAACATATTGTGGAGTGGAATCTGGGTCGGAGCAGACTATAGATTCTTACATTAGGGTGTCAGTTCGCGCGTCTCATAAGTGAGTGGGAATTTACCGAACGTGGCACTTGCGGGAGTTAACACTGTATGCAATACCCGCAACCTCACACCAAATTTCAGGCCATGTAGATAGGCAAGCATATATACAAATAATTTAGTAAGCAGAAATCTGAAATTTACCTTAACATATTAAGTTAGAGGAAGATGCGACTGAATTGATGCTTGAATAATGCACTTCCAGCAGCCATGATAAACAGTTGGCGGTTAAAGTTAATGTAAGAAAAATGATGAGGACGATGAAGATCTCGATGAAGATGTTTATTGCAGCATAGCAGTGACAAAGTACATGTAGTACCTTGGGTTCAACGGAGTCGGAATGAACCACGAGCATCCTAAGCTCAAACATTTTATACACTTAGAGTTTACTACCCTCCATGAAAATGAAGTTGCTCCTGTTGTTACAGCTGTGGTCTGTATGTTAATTAAGTTCTGACACCCCTTTGTTTGAGGTGGTTCTCAGTGTCCCACACCTGCTCCCATTCTACAATTGGTCACCATTTGCTCAGGATGTGATCATCCCAATTGGTCTACAAACAACATAACTGTTGACTTTCTTCTTCTCTATAATAATTAAGCCATTTTGGGAAATGAGCATGATCAAACATATTGTGGAGTGGAATCTGGGTCGGAGCAGACTATAGATTCTTACATTAGGGTGTCAGTT